AAAAGGAGAAAGAGTTCTCATATTTCCCTGGTAGCTTTTGATCTTAGCATCATCCTGTGATTCTCAGGTTATTGTGTGGGCATTACTATCTGAACTTTTACATCCTGAATGAATTATCCCTGTACATCTACATCTAAACCTCCGAAGGAATAAGATTTGTAGCTCATTGTACCGAAATTGATAAGAGAACACAGAATTGACAGGTGCTTGACTGTAAGCCTCTGTAAACACAATCTAGTAAACTTATAGGAGTACAATAGATTGTGTATGTTTCAGTTGCTAACTCTCAAATCCTGGTTGGCATGAATACCTAAATCCTACGCAGGTGTCTGTCTCTACAATGGGACTAGTCATGCATGCAAAGAAATTGTGCACAGAAATGGTTTCCCAGGATCAAGGACTGCTTTATTCCAAATTACTTTCCATATTGCAGAAATATACGTTGTTGCAGAAGTCATCGCATGCAGCAGAGGTAGGATGCAAACCCTGCTTTTCTAAACAAAGTTAGCACACTCAATTCTAAGAGCATGGATCACCTGCTGTATGGGCAGTGCCTGCTTTCAGTGCCATGCCACCCATCTCCAGCAGGTGGTTTGAGTCATCTATCATTGTGGTAGCACTGAGCATGTCTCCTTCTGCGGAAATGCTCCAGGCATACCTGCCAAGGCACTGGCCCTTTTTCATGCCTGCAGTCCCTATTTGTACACAGGATGGAGACATATCGTAAAATCGTTTGCAAAGTAAAGGGTTTGCGGCACTGAACAAATGTATATACTGTGAGAAATATAGCAAACTGAAGAAACAGTGATCTATTTAATTTTGACTGCAGAAAGTTATGCAGATAATAAAATTCTAGAACAGGAAGCCCCTACGCTGACAGTCTAGATCTTCTAGTTGAAACAGAGTCTAGTTCTTCTGGTTGGAAAAAAAAAATCAAGTTGTAGTTGAAGAAGCTGGAATGAAACCCCCTCACCTTTATACGGAAGCTCCAGTGTGGTACAATACATACTGTAATCCTTTCAAAGGGGAAAGAAAATGTTTGTATGGACACAATGACTAGGTTAAGACAGCAATTGCAGGCACCGTTTGTTTCATCATGTGTTGATTGAGAAAACCACAATAGGTAGGATTTGTGAGACATACTAAGCCAAAACCAAACAAGCCGTTGTTTCAAAAACAGTCAATCATCAAGATGCTAATTATTTCAATAGCCAGAAGAACAATGAGCAATAGGAAAAATTAACATACTTAAATGGTTTCATATATACAGGTTTTAGATTAAATCTCTGTAGGCAAAACTTGTTTGCATTTGTGGTTTCCCATCTACACACTTTCCATTCATGATCTTTGTGTAAAAGCCTGCTGTTTCATGTCTAGTGCTACCCTAGTGTATTAAGGTTCACAAGCTGAAATGTCTAACATACGTTTTAAAGAGGTCCTGCAACTTCTTATTCTAACAATAATAATCTGATATGAATTACTAACATGTTCACAAATTAAAAAAGGAGCCAATTGAAGGCTTCCATTCATGCTGAGCATTAAAAAGGCTAATGTCTCAAAGGTTTTTATTGTGCTAATAAAACTCAGAGGTGGTCAAGACTTGTGTGCCACAAGAAGAGCATATAAAATAATCAGTTAAGATGATATGAGTACATTTTCATTCACTTTCAAGATTGCCTTGGAAAAAAAATCAGAGATTGCAATAAAAGAAAGGGAAAGAAAAAAAAAACTATATCAAAGAACAGGAAAAACTTCTAAGCATGACTTATCTTTAATGTTTTACATCAAAATGAAAATTCTGTGATATGTCATGTGCATAAACAACACAGGCAGCTTTTGTCTTTTATGAATTTAAATGGAAAGTCCCTCTAGATATTAATATGTGGACTTCATTTGTTAGCCTGCTAAGTCAGGGACTTATAACAAAAGCTTTGTAAACAAAAGATTAAACTGAATCGAGCTTTAGAAAATGAAAGGAAAACAAGAGTCAAATAATCACAGATCAGAGTGGGGCTGCTTAGATTGAAATCACTACAAGCTACTGGAGTGGAAAATGTTTAATTGAACGATTTCATTACGCAGGAAGTTTTATGTCCCTCTTGTAGAATCCAAAATATTTGTATCAGAAAATCCATTCCCTCTTTTTCTTCTTTTAATAAAACCACCCAGCAGACATTATGTATACCCTCACCAAATGTCTGTAACAGGCATGAATGTGTGTGTGTGTGTGTGTGTGTGTGTGTCTGTGTCTGTGTGTCTGTGTGTGTGTATATGTGTGTATGTATTCTATATAGGATAGCAATATGCTATTTTCCCAGATTTTATTTACTGCAACTCTTGATTTTGCCATGCCTGATCATATATGTGATGAGAATAAATGCACTGAAACCTGTAAACAAAAAGTGACTAACCTTTGGTAACCGTTCTGGATCACCTGGATGCCGTGGAATGACTTTCTGCAATCTCTGGAATCCATAATCTATTGTTGGTTCATTAAGGGCTGAAAAATGGACAGAACAGTGTATCAGTCTGGCGATCAGTTGTTAGCAAACATATGCAAAAAACAGGCTGACTAAACCCTTGCAATTAAAAAAAAAAAAACAACCACAGATTTCTTGGGACTCATTTTCCGGACTCTTCTTGTTTTCACTCATGGAGAGTATTCTTTCTTTCCATAATTAGAGGGGAGGAATTGCAAACGAAAATGCATATTGCAAGAAAAAAACCTCCAAAACCTGATTAAAATGGTTGGCTCAGTATCAAAAGTTACAGGTCTTGAAGCCATATATAGCAATCACCAGAGTCACGATATGATGTCTGCATCATGCTCCATTTTCTATACTGTCTGTGAATTTATGGGAAACTGGCAATTATGACATATGTCCAGCTATTGCTTGCTTCAGATTTATCCCTGTGGTCCTTTTTTGTCTAGCATATTGCCTGAGCACAAACCAGGCAGGAGGAGCACTTAATCTTGCAAAGCTTTAATAATCTGTGAATGGCTGACTACAGACTGATGTAGAGCACTATCATTCTACAGCTGCAAACCACTAGCCTCACAAAATTGCAGGCCACAAATAGTAATTAATCTTTTTATCCCTCAAATTGTAATTTTGACTATGAACTGTGCTTGGTCATAAATCAGCAGCACATGCTGCTGTGTACAGTGCATGAATCATGAATCTGACTCAGTTAGACTGCACACATTGTGTTTAACAAGCTTTGTAAGGAGTCATAGGGCTTTATTATAGCTCTGCCTGACTCAAACAAAAACTGAGCCTGGAGGCCCAACGACTCGAGTTAAGATGAAAATACTTATTAGAGTATATTACTTCTTGATGTAGATATCGTTTTTAACAGAGTAACTGCATGGTGCATGGCGCTACATAAATCAATGGGACTAATAAGAACTGCCTCCATCTATTCATTACTCAGCGTAGAATTCAGACCATCACTCATTAGTCAGCATGTAATTTGATGATTAACACCAAACAGCTCAGCAGGTTTGCTGAGCAAAAGCGATGGCAAAAAAATAAAAAATAAAAAAATAAAAAGCTTACAATTTACTAGTGCGTTAATACACCCCGATATTTGGGTTTTGTTTTTTGTTTTTTCCAAAATAATTGGCTCATATTATTATTAATTGCTTTCGGTTTTTTATGTAAACACACAATAGTACATCTCATAATCAATGCATGTAGGCTTCCACAACAAGCACTCAATAAACATAGCAGAAAGTTGAAGACTGCAATATGATTTGACATTCCATCATGCATCCCGGAGACAAAGGTCCACATAGGAATGTGAAGTAAGACATTTTCTTGTTAATAAAGCATTGATCCGATGTATTGATTTTACATGACATGGCTTTTGCTGGGATTTCACCCTCCTTTTTCTTTGCAAATAGTAAAGCTCTTCAAAATGCCTTGGCGTCTGTGACATGGCAAAATTTCTAACTCTCTGTGATGTAAATTCTATATGTGTAAAACCACTTCATAATCAGACCATTAATCATCAGAAGCTGTCAGCACTGACTTTGGGGACAATTTGTCATGTCTTTGCCTGGTCCTATACTAGTGTGTCAGGCAGAAGCCAAGAAGGTTGGGACAGATGATGGCCTTGTATAGCCTCACAAAATGACTTGCTGGCGAATTATAAAAGATTAAATAAAGTGTTACTGTTCCCAATTAAAGAACAAAAAAAAGGGGGTAGCAGTCGGTACCCGCATAACCGATCAGAGATGTTGTTGCTTCTTCAAGTTTCCGGCTAATCGCTATGGCTATTTGACTTCATGAAAGGTCTGGTGGAAGGTGATCAGAAAAGATAGATGGCCAACCTCAATTGATTTCATGCAGATATAACTGACAGGTGATGGGGGCTTTGATGCAAGCTTTCAAAAGCTTTACGACTTATAATAACCATAGATTTCTATGCTAGGAATCACACCTCCAAATGTTCCGTTTCAATTTATATTATCAACCGTACAGCCATAAAAGAATTTGAAATTCTACAGATATAATTTGAAAAACTAGACTGGCACTAGGAAGACAATTACAAAACCTGACGAATGGAAGAACATTGTTCTGCCTAAAATAATAATTACTGTGTTTCCCTGAAAATAAGACCCTATCTTATATTTTTTTGAACCCTGAAATAAGCGCTTGGCCTTATTGCCATGCGCTCAAAAGCCCGATTAAGCTTATTATCAGGGCATGTTTTATTTTGGGGGAAACAGGGTAGTACATTGTCCTTTTGTAATTTGTAGTATTCTACGTATTTCATCTGACAAATGTACAGTATTCCAAGCAGAATTCAGACTCACATATAACCATGCATATCAGAATATTATGTACACGCATACATTTGCATGCGAGAATGAGAAAAGAGTGCCCCTCTGTTTAAATTATGTTCATGCTATCTTGTATTTAAAGTTCTTTGAGCTTCTGATAATTGGGCATTGGGTTATTCAATTTGCCTCTGCACCTCAAAGAACAGTCGGCAATATGCAGAACAGATCGACTAATAATGGGCTAAATCCACCTTGACTTCTCTCCTACTCTTATTTGAACTTCTAGCAGCTCTGGCCTTCAGCCCACAATGAATAGAAAGCAGTGCACATATGCACAAGATCTATCACCTTCTTTCCTGACAAAATGAGGACTAGGAAAGACTTCCCTGGCAAAATCCACAACTAGAGGCGAAAACAGAAGACCTTTTCCACACATTTAATAAATCCTGGGTGCGTTGAGTTTACAAGCTGAGAGTCCAGCAGAGCCAGGGCAAAGCATTGGCACGTCCCAGTCACCGAGCACTGAGCCAGGCCAATCAATACCACTTTCCTGTTTTAGAACTGGGTAATTATGAGGTGGAGAGATTGCCTGACCTTTCACCTGCACTGCATTACTTTGCTGATATTAAGATAAATTGCCTGATTTTGGGTAAACATATGCTGCAATTCAAACTGTCAGCACTGGTTTGCTCAGGGATAATTTGTATTGATCTCCCAGCTTCTTCCCAATTTTGCTTACTGACCTCGTGGATAATTAGAGAAGGAGCCTTGGTAAGCTAAAGTCAGGGATGAAGAAGAAATATGAAGAGAAATAAAGCAAATTTGTGTAATGTTAATATTGGTGTTCTTTATTCTAAATCCTTTACATCTGTCAGCATCCTGATAGCTGAGAATTAATGTACTTGGCACTTGGGTAATTTATTCGAAGAAATTATCTAGTGCTAGTCCCTCTCGCTCAGTATAAGAGAATGTGCAAAATTTAAACATTGCTTCAAAGACAACAAAAATGTAAACATTTGACTTTATCCAAGATAGAAAACAAACAAGTTTCCAGATGTTGCCAATTCACAATTTTCATTATAGACTTGTTTGGTGTGGTATCTGTCTCTAGATATGTAGTAGAATAAATAATTAGTACCAGTAATTTGTCCTGAATGCAAATTTTACTAAAATAGACTGGTGGATGTAAAAGAGATGAATGGATGTGCAAAATTATATCATTTAAGATATGTCAGATTACAAGTCTGTTGTATCAAAAGTCATAAAACAAGTCTCCCTTGTGAAATATCTCTTTATTAACCATGCCATAAGATATTAACATTCCTCATTTAGTGGAGGGCCTTTTATCTGTTTCAAATACATTATTCGTCCTTTTAGAGATAAACTGTATTAATATCCATTTGAGTAGGCTACTGTGGCCTAATGCATAGTAATTTTTGTTGGAGAGCTTTTATTTTAGAATAAGAAAATTACACAGCAATAAAAACTGAATGAATAAGAAGCCAGAATAGCAGGGAATCACATTCCATGCCAAATGAGGCAAGCAATCAGACAACCTCTGAAAAGGCCAGATATCCAGTTCTCATACACAGGCCAATATCCAGAGTAGGTCATACAAATAGGGTCTGACATGACCAAATATGCTCAATGATTCTTACATGCAGAACTAGCCCTACAGCTCAAGGAGAATACATATTTAAATACATTTGAGTGCACTGGAGTTAATCTTGTTACTTTACATGCATTAAAGTCATAACAGAAGAAACATTCTAAATATTTAAGTCATTCCAGTGTACTGAGGGATTAATCATACCACAATTTATAAAATTTTAACAGTCTGTGATGTCAGTTCAAGTTGGGATTGCTGAAGCTAATGTGGCAGCAGAAAATGGTATCAGACTCTCAGCTTGCAGCTGTGACCAGAAAATCTCAAATCTGCCTGCCACAATTAGAAACGTACCAATGGACAGAATTCTGTGGAATTTTTCTTTCTTGTGACATACACAGTTTCAGTTTTCATTTGATGGGTTAACCTTCTTTGTCAGCTACTTCTACTTGAAGATCTGCATTAATATCTAAAACTTAAGCATGTATGTAACTATTATATTAGGCCTGATTTCTATATCCATTTAGAACTATACATAATTAAATTAAGGTGACAGAATGTACAAATGTGTTATATGCACTGAAATCCAAATATCTTCAGCTAGAAACAGTAATTTGGATGCTGTTAAAATAAAGGATTATAAAAACGTTGAAGAAAAGGGGGGAAGTTATAGTGATGGTACAGGGGACAGAAGTATTTGTAGGTACAGAGACAAATAGTTGGAACAGAGTAGAAGAAGCTGCCAGGAAGCTCTATGATACTATTAGCGATTGGTGTAAGCTTTACAAATATATTATAAGACCACCTGCAGAGTTATTTGTTAGAAGCAACAACAACAACTTAATAACTAGCTAAACTATCGCTATTCTGGGATTATTTCCATTAATAGTTACACACCTAATTTTCAGTATCACTGCTCTCATCTTGTGTAGCTAGGCCTCGGGGTTCACCCCTGCCTGCACCAATACCATGTCTAAATGTAAAAGGAAAAAGATCAACGCAAGATCTTTTGTGATAGCAACATTGGTGACTGATATTTGAGAGCCTGAGAACCAGCCAGGCAGTTTAATCCCATCTTTATTTAATTTAAAAAAAAAATCTGCAA